GCGCGTGGAGCCACGCTGATGTAAAAGCCGTTCTGTGCAGTGGTGTGAGGGTTTGTGACCTTAGTCAGTCCCGGGACTCGGGGGAGAAGTAACAGCCAGGTGTTCGGGTGGGCGTGTGCTCTTACGCATCCCTTGGAGCTGCTTTTTACAAAGCGGATCTTTCCTATGAAGCTGTGTTCATGTGTTTGCACGCAGTAATGTGGGCGATTTTCTCTGAGGGGAAATTTTCAGATACAGGTCTATTAAGGTATTTAAGCATTTCTACAAACTTTATAGAAATCTCTGGAAAGTTTTTTTTGCTGTCCATTTTGGAATTAAATTTAATACAGTCGTAGTCCGGAATAGTTCATAGCCGTGGGTGCAGGCTTCTGCACTGTCCAGTGCCCGCCCGCTGCTTTGGTGCTGTCTTAAAGCTACAGAAATCTCTGTACTGACTGCAGCTCAGGACTCTGACCGCTCATCCACCGGGAAGCCGTGTTCTGTTCCAGCCCTTGGTCTAGGGGCCCTCCGACCGCTGACTGTTGTAGCGGATCTCCTCACACTTAGGTCAGCGTCGGGTTCAAATGAAGCGACTGAACTGGGCCAATTTGCTAGGCGCATTGAGAGCCAAGGATTTTTAAGTAAATTAGAAGTACAGTTTTTTTTTTTTTTGAGGTGAGCTATTTGCCATTCTGCGATATAGAAACAGCTTGGGGGGCTCTTAAAAACAGGTTTGTAAGTAAGCTGTACGACTGTGATGTACTTAAACTGTTTACACCATATGGCACAATGTTCACTGTGCTAATGGCACATTCCTGCCCTAGGGAAGTTGGTTTAAATTACTTCATAACTTAATAGAAGCCTGGCTTAACTGTAGAATGAATTCTCAAAGAGCTAGAGATTGAGGCCTTGGTGTCCTCAAGCTCCGTTTTAAACATTGTACACACCAGGGAGCGATAGAGAGCTGTTAATGGTTATCTTAAAAATTTGAGTACCTGTAATTGTGACTTTCTCGAAAGTACGAGAATCCGTTTTAATTATGTAAGTATATTGGAAGATAAAACCTTTTGAAATATACAGTATCCTGACAATAGGGAAAATACCAAAATTCTATGACAACATTACAAGTCACTTAACATACTTAAAAAATCTTAGCTCAGTAAATCCCAAGATAAGAACTTCATGTAATGGTGAACTTAAAGTATTGTACTTTTTAACCAATAGATGGAGTTCGGTTAAAGCTCGAAGTAATACTTAAAGCTCTCATTGCTGAAGTACAAGTCTGGGAACTGCTACTATCTTCAATTTCTTACCTGTTTGGAAACGACCCTGGCCTGACTCGTAAAGAATGAGGGACAGGTTAAACTGGTAATGATGTCAGCGATTTTATGAATGTTTTTGGCCATCTTACGTGGATGGAGAGTTAAAGGGTTACAGCAGACGCCCCTCCAGTCATCTCTGGATTCTAAGGTACTCTTCTGGGTTTTTTTTTTGTTTTTTTTGTTTTTTTTTTTTGGTTTTTCTCGGGTACCGGGAACCGAACTCACGGCCTTGCGCCTGCCAGGCAAGCGCTTTTGCCGCTGAGCTAAATCCCCAGCCCCTTCTGTTTCTTAACATAACGCCTGCAATCCCAGCACTCAGCAAGCTGAGGCAGGAGGATCACCGAGTTCCACACCAGCCTAAACGGCAGAGTGAGACCCTATGTCAAAAAAAAAGTGACCTAGCAATTACCAAGGGAACTGAAACCAAGCGGCTGTTGCCGGGTCAGAGAGTGCTGTGTGTAAGCTGTGGATGTAAGGTGAACAAGGGGATGCACGTGGACAGCTGGCCCTGCAGGCGTAGTTCACGTGCACTCACTTGGATAGGAGCGCTTGGTCGACTTGCATCTTTAAGCCTGGGCTCATGGGCCAAATAAGGATGGTGCTACTACCACTTGTGTGTCTGGATGTTCTCTGTCTAGGAAATACTTTCCAATTAAACCAAGACTGGCTTGCTAAGGGCGAACATTTCATATACCTGGACCTAGATTCCCAGAACATGGTACACTAACTCAACCTATGCTGGGTTGTTACTTAAAAGTACATTGGAATCCCCAGGGTGTATCTTTCCCTTTTTTTGTCCTCTAAGGGGAACTGAACCCAGGGCATTTGCACTGAGTTATATCCACAGCCCTTTATTTTTTATTTTGAGATGTTTTCGCTTAAGTTGCCCATAATGGCGTTGAACTTGCCATCTTGATGGGATCACAGGTGTGTGTCACCACACCCAGCTGGAACATACATAACTGCATCCTCCACGAACAAGTGAGCATGCATGTATAAGGGTATAGAGAACCTGGCAAAGCCAGTTTTCTGTTTTAAAAGTAAGAGGAGCTACATTTATACTTACTTCACCCTAGAAAGCATATTTTAGTTTAATAACAAACTGGGAACCAGTGAACTAAATTCTGGTTTGATGTGTTGCAGTTACATTTCTTCATTAATTTAAAAACCACCCACCCTGGAAGATACTAATACTGTATTTTTCAGAACTTTCAGTGTACATCTTAGAATATATGATAAATCTAGTTATATAAAGTCTTTTGAGTGCTTTTTGGTACAAATGAAGCGATCTTAAATTACAATAATTTGTTAGACTTAAGAATTGAAATTGACATGCTTATGAGCTACAGTGTGGTAATTTTACACATACATGCAATGTAATGATCAATGAATGAAGATAATTAGTGTTTCTGTCTTTCTAAATGTTACATTGGGAACATCTGTTGTGAACTGCAGCTGCTCCAACTCCACTGTAAAGTGATACAAACCCGCTCTCCTGTGTCACGCCTGGGAGTGGTCAGCCGTCCTTCCCGTAATCTCTAGTGACCTCTTTGGCTGTGTTCCTGTGAGACCAACGTTTTTCTTTTCGCAGATGTGCTCTCCCCATGCTCCCCAGGCTGGCTTAAACTGACCTCAAGCAGTTCTGTCTCGACCTCCTGGGCACGAGCTGCCATGCCCCAGCTGAAAACAAACTTAAAAGTTCCACATGTAAGAGGAGAGAACAGTGTCTGTGTGCCTGGCTTACTCAACAGTGTCCTTCAGGGCTCTCCGTGTTACTGTACATGACAGAATGTCGTTCTTTTTTATGGCTGAATAATATTCCATTGTATACAGTGAATTATTTTTGTCATTATATATGTTAGATCTTAATACACATACAGAGAGCTGCTTCATTATTTTCAATGAATATTACATCTTATGAATGTGCTTTTATTTAAGCAGATTCCTAATGGACTTTTAGATATTTGTCATTATTAAAGTCACTTTTAATCCATATCTTTTTTTAAATTTTTTGAGACAAGATCTCACTATAGCCAGGTGTGGTGGGGCACGCCTGTAATCCCAGCACTTGAGAGGCTGAGGCAGGAGGATCGTTGCGAGTTCGAGACCAGCATGGGCTACAAAGTGAGCTCAAGGTCAGCCTGAACTGCATAACGAGACCCTGTCTCAAAAAGACAAAAAAAAAAAAAAAAAAAAAAGATCTCACTATATAGTTCAAACTGGCCTTGAACTCACTATGTAGCGTAGGCTAGCCTTGCGGCAGTCCTCCCTCAGCCTCCCAAGTGCAGGGATTACAGGCATGCACCACCATACCAGGCTTTTCCATATGCTTTTAGTATCATCTTTTCTCACTTGTACGACTATATAAGAAATATTTGTGGAAGTTAAATTTCTAAATTTTGGTTATATTGTGCTATGAATTTTTGGTATGTAGTGGCTCGTGTAAAAAGAAACAGAGGGCTGGGAATGTAGCTCAGCGGCACCTGTCTGGAAAGCACAAGGTCCTGAGTTTGATTCCTGGTACCAAAATAAATAAAAAGAAATAGAAAATGATTGAAGAATATAATTAAGCTTCTACTAAGTATGCGTCTCTAAATTTTTTCTAGAGTGGCTTACTTAGAAAATACGGTAAATGTGTAGTTACATTACAGAACTGCTGGCCTCAGTGACTCTTACTTGCGTTCCTATCAGAGGGGGTCCGATTACATCTGTGTGAGGTATGATACCATATTATTTTACCAGAACTTCGGGTAGTATAAATCTAAAAGATGAGGAACTAAAAAACAGTTAAGCAGGGGCTGGGGATTTAGCTCAGCGGCACAGCGCCTGCCTGGCAAGCGCGAGGTTGCGAGTTTGGTTCCCGGTACTGGAAAAAAAAAAAAAAAAAAGAAGCAGTTAAGCAGTGATAAGCACATTAGTACTACTGACGCAGATGTCTAGAACTTTTCTCATCATTATTCATGATTCAGCTCAGTAGGTTCTATATTTCTAGGAATTTATCCAATTTGTTGTTTAATTGTTCATAGCCATCTTTTATAACCCTTACTTCTGTAGCGTCAGTTACAATACTTCATGTTGTATTTCTGATTTATTTACTCATTCATTTCATTCACTTATTACCATGCTTGGATTGAACCCAGAGCCCAGAGTCTGCACTGAGCTACATTTCCAGCCCTTTTATTTTTAATTTTTTGGAGACTGGATCACAGTAAGTTGCTAAGTTGCCCGGGCTGGACTCAAACTTCTGATCCTTGTACCTTAGTCCTAGAAGGTGGGGTTACGGTCTGAACCACCATGCCTAGCACTGTTCTGTTTCTTTCTTTCTTTCTTTCTTCCTTTCTTTCTTTCTTTCTTTCTTTCTTTCTTTCTTTCTTTCTCTCTTTTTTCTTTCCTTCCTTTCTTTCATTCTTTCTTTTCCTTCTTCCCTCCCTCCCTTCCTTCCTTCCTCTCACTATGTAGCCCAGGCTGGCCTCAAACTCATGGGGATCCTCCTGCCTCAGCCTTCTGAGTATTAGGATTAAAGCTGTGCACCACCACACCCAGAGTATCCAGCACATTTCTGACTTTAGTTGAATCTTTTCTCAGTTAATAACTAAACATTTGTCTCTCTTTTTTCAGAAAACTCCTAGCTTCGTTCATTGTTTCTATTTTCTATTTGTTTTATCTTTGTTCTAATCTTTTTATTTCCCTCCTGCTAATTTTGGATTTACTTTTTTCTCCTTTATTTAGTTTTCTGAGGTATAAAATTAGATTATTTATTTGAGGTCTTTTTTTATATGAACATTTGCAGCTGTAATACTCCCTCATTACTGGTATTGCTGCATTCCATGCTGTTCTCATTTTGACTTGTCTCAGGATATTTTCTTGTTTCTCTTTGAGTCCTTTTTTGTTTTATTTCCACGTAAGTGTGTATTGTTTAGTTTTCCTTTGGCTATTTCTATTTTTATTCCATTGTGGTTGAAAAAGATGCTTCATATGATTTCAGTTTTCTTAAATTAGTTAAATCTTATTTCATGGCTTGACTTGTGGTCTGTCCTGGATAGTTTTCCATGTGCTTGAGAAAGAGTGTGTACTCTGCCATTTCTGGGTACAGCGTTTTGTGTGTATCTTGCAGGCCTAATGGATTTGTAGTATTTCTGAAGCTGCTCCTTCCTGATCTCATCGTCCTGCACATTACTGAAAAGGGATCCGAAGTCTGCTGCAACCTTGTGTGTCTTTCTCTTTTCAGTTCTGTCAGCGTGTGCTTCGTATATTTGGTGGCCCTGATGTTTGGTGCTTGGATGTTTATAACTGTATCTGCTTGGTAGACTGACATTTTATGTTTTAAGTCCTTTTGTCTCCTGTGACAGCGTTTTCAAATATTTTTTTCTGACACTCGTGTGGCCAGCGTGTTTCCCACTTGCGTGGAGTGTCTTTTTCATGTTCAGCCTGTGTGCACCCTTACATCTTAAGGGAGTCTCTGCAGATGGAATATAGTTCCGTCTTTGCAAATCCATTCATCCAATCTGTGTCTTCTGATTGGGGAGTTTAATATATTTACATTAGTCTGTGAGTAGCTCATTGTTTTCTGTATCTCTGGAGCCTTTTTGTGACTTTCTTAAGGTGCCTCCTTTGCATTTCATGATCTTTGTGTGTCGTGCTTTGGCTCCCCTCGTTCCCTTTTGTGTATGTTCTATAAGTATTTTCTTATAGAAACCCAGTCTCAAAAAGACAAATAAAAAGCAAACTTAATGGGAAGGACATTTTTCTATGCCCTTTATAATTTTTTTCAAGACTTTAAAATGACAGTTATAAATATAAAGGAAAATGAAGAATAATAAAGCAAAACTAATATTGAGTGCAGTTAACATTAACGTTGAAAATTATTCTATTTCTTTGTTACCTCATCAGTTTGACCAGTGCTGCTTTGTATATGTAAGCATTTTGTTCTGTCTTGACAACGTGTTACCCTTGTAACTGAATCAGCTTCCAACATGTTGTCCTTTTTGCCTTTAAGCTGGTGAAATATTTCCAGATAACAGGAAGTTGTTGAGGGCGCCCCCTCTGGGACACCTTCATTCTTCCTGTTAACCAGTGCAGTCGTACTCAGCATCCGTGGGGATTGTTTCTAGGGCCCTGGAGATGCTTCCGTGTACAAATGCTCAAGTCTCTTCTATGAAAAGACGTTCACATATAAGCTGCATCTCATATTTTAAATGATCTGTTTCTCCGTTACTTGTAATACATCATAAAATGCTGTGAGTATCTGCATTGCCTAGGGAATGGCAGTCTTCAGAGGGTTGGTACGTACGCATTTATTCCGGACATTTTCAGTCTGCGGTTGAGGTACACCCGTGCGTGGGATCGGGGACACGCAGAGCTAACTGCTTCGCTCACTGCAGCCAACCAGGTTGCTTCTGCTGGGCACCCGTCTGAACCTCCAAGTGTTGCCAGTGTCAGCAGTGATGAAGTGTTTTGTCTGTTTATGTTTGTGTCAGTTGTTTCTTCGATGCATTTTCGTCTTTACTGGCTGATCTCCTGTCCTGTTTTTGTGAGATGTCGCGAACATTTATGGCTGGGGAGTGAGGCGGCAGCACAGCTACACACTTGCTGTCGTGGCTGTCTCCGAGCCCTGGATAACTGCAGTGACCAGTTGCTGGGCTTCGAAAGAAGTAACGTGAAGGAGAGTTGTGTGTGTGCTGTTTACTTAGTTACTTGTGGGTGGAATTGTGCAGTTTGTGCTTCGTGCAGTGACAGTCATGGCGATGGGTGCTTGAACTGTGTGGGTGGACTGGTGTAATTTACCTACACTGTTGTAAATGACATTCATGCTTAACAGAAGCTTGGAAAGGGAGGACTGGCTGCTTCAGGATTATCTCTGGTTTTTCAGGGGCAGTTTCTCTCTGTCTCTGTCCCTCTCTGTCTCCCCACCCCACGCCCAGAATTACTGTTTCCCATGTATATCCAGGAATTTTTATTTTTTATTCATAATTTAGAACTAAGTATTTTTACGAGTACTGATCCCGATGTTTCTCTGTTGTTACACAGACGTTCCTGGTTCTCTTACGTGCCCTTGTTCTGCATGAGGAGGGTTTGGGTTATCTTCCGTTAGGCTGCATCTGTAGGGAGACTCAAGTTCTGCTGGGGACGCCTTCAGCAACTAAAATCAAGAGCAGCGGTCCTCATCCTTAGCCCGGAGCTCTTCCTAGGAGTCATCCATGTATCTGTGGGTCCCGGCTCCTTTACCCTTGTGAAGCAGGGTGGACGACACAGGTGTTTCCTTAACACACTTCCAATGTTTAAATCCCTGTGTTTAGCCTCCTCCTAGCTCCGCCCTCCTGCACCAGACTTCTGACCCAGAGATGCTGGTACCGAGGAAGAGCAGTTCCCACCCCCGCACCCTATCAGAGCAGTTCTGGGGCTAGGGTCCGCTTCAGTCTGTCTGTTCTTCATCTTGCCAGCCCTCCATCCACTTTCTGAATTCCAGGAAATAGCGGAACATACAAGTCTATTTCCATTCTTTTTGTTACTGATTTATTCTTTAGTTTGTCTTTGTAGTGGTTTCAGTAAAACTGGAGGCAGAGATATAACAAGTATCTGTACTCACTCTGCAGTTCTGAGCTGAAATTTAATTGGTTCTTAGAGTTCCTCCAACATGTACTCCATGTAGATGTTTGGGACATAGATGAAAAGGGAGCGCTTCAGGGCGGGGCTCCTGAGCCAGGCCGGCAGATCGTCTCTCCCAAATTCGACTGCTCTTTCCCCGGAGACTTCGGATGTTACTGACACTCTTGTGTATTTCAGTTTCCATTCTGTAATGTACGAAAAATGCCTCATACAATTGTCTGAAAAGTAAATGAATTAAAGTGTACTTAGGACAGCATTTGGTACAGAATAAGAATATATATATATATACATATATGGAAATGGGACCTTTTGAATTTCTTGTCTCCTATTTGGTGTGTTGTTCCCTAAACACAAAGTTAAAGAAATTATTTTTTTCTGCTTAGAAATCAAGTAGGTTCACGGATGACTGTTTTTGTACCTAAGTAGGTAGTTAATAAGAATAAGTTTGTCAATAGGTTTGAATCCCTGAGAAGACACTTAGGCATCTTAGTAGCAACCGAAATACTTTACCATCCATCCAACTCCCAGAGGCAAGAGAGCCTGGAAAAGGAAACACCCAATGAGACAAGTTCTGTTTGTTTCCTTTTGTTTTTATCAGTTACCGCATCCTCACAATATTCTAGCCAAAACATGAGGGAAGTAAGAACTCTATTCAAATCTCAACAAAAAGACCTTAATAAAATATTCCATGAAAGATACACTTCTAAGAAATCTAAGAACTGTGGATTTTATTTTTCTAGTAACTATGTGAGATATTTTAAAATCATACAGCGTTCACTCTTTGTTCCTTTAAGATTTACCACATGCTACTCAAGTATTTTCACTTCCAAAAGAATCAGCAGTCGGAGGCTGAATTTTTCAAAGATAAATACCAGGGACTCTGCTCTAGAGAAAGTAGGAACAGGCCCCAGGAGCGGAGGGTGGAGGAGGCAGAAGCCAGGTCTGCGCAGACCCTTCAGCCCACTGCTGGCGCCGCGTCAGGAGCAGCGCACAGTGTGTCGTCACCTTCCTCCTGGGCCGGGGTACCTGAGCCGAGCAGCTGACGGCAGACGGGGCTGGAGTCGGGTCTGGGCGTGAACCCGCTCCTCGGTGACTGCAGTGCCCGGGATCTAAGGGCCCGCCTCTGACCGCCCGAGCTCCTGGGGGACACTGCTGACCCAACTCATAATCACACATTCCTTGACGAGTTCTTTTTTAAAGATTCTGAAATTCTGAAAATTTCAAACTTACATAAAAGTTGCAAGAACAGTGCAAAAAACCACATTTTCAACCTTTTAGGTGTAAATTGCCAAGACTTCCACGTTGCACCCCACTGAGATCCCGACTGTTTTTCAGAGCTGACCCTTGCACACAGCACCCTCTCCCGAGCCGCACCCTGCGATGGGCGGGCCCCCCTCGTCCCACCACCGTCAGGCGCCTGCGCTGCCCCCGGCAGCCTCACACGTCCGGCTCCAAGTCTCAGGCTGACCCTGCGGCAGGGCCAACAGACTGATCCGCTGCGGGAAAGAAGGGAAGGAAGAAGAGGAGAGAAGGAAAGGAAAAGCTTTATCTAGATCGAGGAAACATTTCAGGATTTGTCTAGTTAGGAATTGTTAGCAAGTAGGACTTCCGGCCAAGTGGTGACTCGATGTCGCTTTACAAAGAATCACAAACCGTAAAATGCATTTCAGTGGATATCGTAAATACCGGAGGAATATTTTGGGGTATTAACATGAGCCACCATCCTCATCCTGAGAGCTGAATCCAAGCCTCAACTATATGAGCACACCACCACTGAACTGTATCTCCAGCTCTCTTTATTTTATTTTGTTTCATCTTTTGTTTTTGAGACACGGTTTTGCCCTGTAGCTCAGGCTGGCCTTGAACTTGCAGCAATCTTCCTGCCTCAGCCTCTTAAGGGTTGGGATGACAGGATGGTGCCACCATGCTTGGATTTTATTTCATTTTAAAATCTTGAGACAAGGTCTCACTAAATTGCCCAGGCTAGCCCGGAACTTGAAATCCTCCTGCCTCAGCCTCCCAAGTAGCTGGGATGAAAGGCATGTGCCACATGCTTGGCTTGACTGTGATTATCAAAAACATATGGAGAACTCAGTGTTTTAAACATTTTGTGTATGTACATAAAAATGATTTTCAACCTACCTTGCTGACACTGGAAAGTGAAATCAGGAAATTGTTGCATAAAGCATTTAAAATAGAGATTATGAAATTTGGAATTACATTCTACAGTGGCAAAACAGGTCTTCTCATGATTGTTGTAACAACTAATTCGTTCCTCTATGTAGGCTGTTGCAGTAGCCACCTTTCTGTCTATTTTCGCTCTTGCCCTCACTCCCAGGCTCATTCTCTATCTTTTGCATGGAAGCTAAAATGACCTTTTTAAATACTTAAATCAGATTGTATCTTTTTTTATTTAAGTAGAGATTCTACTTTTTGCTTGGGCTATCAAGAACCAGAAAGGGTCCCTGGTACTCTCTCACCAAGGAAACCTGAATGAGCTGCAAGTTCACAGTTCTTCTTGAATTCATCAAGGAGCTGAGGTCTTTAATTAACCAATTAGCCTGAAATCTAGGGAGAAGCAGGCTGCAAGCTTATACTCACCCAGCTGCTAAGAATAATCTAACACTTCCCATCGTTTCTGATTGCCAGGTGTTCACTGCATGTTAGAACATCTGCCATGTATTGGTATAGTAATTTGTGTAGGTCAAGTTCTAAGCAAGTTTGATCTCACAGGTTTAATGCGCAGTATCTGAATATTCAGTAGTTAAGTGCAGAAACATCTCAATGAAGGACTATTGCATTCTGAAAAATAACTTCAGTAATTAAAGTTTGATCACACTCTTCTCTGCTTTACTAAGTAGCATATACTTACTGTTAGGCTTTTATGGATTAGGGGGTCATGCTTAAGCTCACTTGCTATACTCGGTGAGAAAGCCTTGTATTCACTGAATAGCTAGAGACGCTGTTCTAGCTCTTCTCTTCCTTCTGGAAAGCCTGAAAGCCGTTTTCCCAAGAGGCACGGTGCCTAGTGGGAAAGACACTTTTCAGAAACAGCAGTGACAGAGGCTGGCTACCGTAGCTCTGGATGGAGGAGACCCGTAGATGCGGCACGGACAGGAGCCCACACAGGTCCCTTTCAGATCATATACACGTACTTGGCCACCTGCCCCCCACAAGGATCTCTTACCTATGATTTCACTTCTGTGGTCTGAGTAACCTGTAGTCCAAGATATTCAATAGAAAATTTCGGGAGTAAACAACTCATAACTTTTAAATTGTGTGCCCTTCTGAAGAGCATGATAAAATTTCCTGCTGTCTCACTCCATCCCACTCAGAACGTGAATCATCCCTTTACCCCTTCATGGGTACAGTGAATCCATGCTGTATATGCTACCCACCTGTTAGTCGCTTTGTAGCTCTCCCAGTTACCAGATTCACCGTTGCTGTATTGCAGTGCTTGTGTTCAAATGACTCACGTTTTACCTAAGAATAGCCCCAAAGCCCAAGAGTAATGATACTGAAAACTTTTTAATATAGTATAAGTGCCCTATTGTAAATTTTTAAAATTTCTTACTGTGCCTAATTTATAAATTAAATTTTATTGTGGCTTTATATAGGAAAAATTATATATAATTTATATATATAACATAAAAACTGTGTGTCATATTTATAACTATACACTAGATAGTATATTTGGGTTTGGTTTGTTTTTTTCTTGTTTTTGTTGTCCCTTCCCCCCCCCCCCCCCGTACCAGGAATCAAACTCATGACCTTGCACTTGCCAAGCAGGCGCTGTGCCACTGAGCTAAATCCCCAGCCCCTATATTTGGGTTTGGTACTACACACACTTTAAAGCATCTCCTGGGGGTTCTTGGAATGTATCCCCCAGAGATAAGGGAGGATTGCTGTGTAGTTGGGGGGCTATATACCCTAATAAACTCAGGAGAGTGTGCGTGATCATCCAAATATGTGTTAATAGTTTCATAAGAACAGTGCTCACATTGTGATTCTGTATAGCCATATCTACATCTGTGTCCATTTCTTTTGTTTTGATACTGGGAATCGAACTCAGGACCTTATGCCTGCCAGGCAGGCGTTTGTACCTCTGAGCTGTATCCCCGGCCCCTCTGTGTCCATTTCTGACAACCTGTCCATCTACAGACATCCTTTCAGCAGGAGCTGTCCAGGTTGCCTGACTGGACACTGAAGGACATGGGTTCAGGGTCCTATTCTTTCCTCATATTTACTCTTGAAGTAACTTTTCCTTGTGAGGACTCAGATTCTGCTGTATAAATGGTCTTAGAATTACCTTTCAAATTTGAAATTCTAGAATTCTATGGCCATATTGAAAAGTCATTCTTCTATGATTCAGTGGCTTTGATACTAATTTTCTCTTATGGATATAAAGCACTACTAGTAGTGATGTTGTGCTCTGTAATTATAAGAGATCTTCCTCTTGTTTTAATTCTGACTAGCAATCTGAATATTAACAGGCTTGGAGAAGCATATGAACTTTTTATGTTTCTTATAGCAAAAATCTAGTAAGAGTCAATAAAATAATTTTTTTTCTTGGTTAGAAAGTTCTAGTAAATAATAGATGCTAATATATTTTTCATTTTAAAATAAATATGTACAGTATTTTCAATCCAAGAGATACACAAAACTACAAAAATAATAAAGATCAGTGTGAAGAAAAAAATGAATTATTTTAAACAAATATCCTGGCCTCTGTTATCTTTTATGTATGAATCTAGGTATTAGTAAGGCTGTTCATACACCCTGGTTTGCCTGGGACAATTCTACTTTATGTCTTTATTCCACATAATAAATGAAATCTCTTTTATTCTAAAAAATTCCACAGTTTTGGAGGCCAATTCAAAGATTACCCTACTCTTCGCAGATTCTTTTTTTCCTTACTTTATTCCTGAACCGGCCGTGTAAGATATTTTTCCTCAAATATTTCACCCTTTCAGATGGGTCTTATGCAAATCAATGGAAGTCAGAAAAGTAAGCTGTCATTGTTTTTTGCTGTTTCATTTCCTAATGTAATTAAGAGTCAAATTTGTAGTGATAATGCAACTTGCTTATTTTAAAGTAGTTTTCTGCTCTCCCATGGAGGAATTTAGAAATCTGCTTTCCTTCCCTCACAAGAAAAACCTGAATAAACTGAAAAATCAAAGATTTTTCTTGAACTCACCAGAGGCCTGAGTCCCAGGGCAGACCACCACTCTTCTGTCTGCAGGGTTAGTGCAACAGAAAGATGCCTGAAGGAGCAGGCTGCATCAGTTGACAGGAATGTTTGAAGGGGAACTTTGGTAGTTTTTCCGGGGTCTGTGAAAAGCTGCCGGGGCTGCTCTCCAGAGGGAGCCCCGCACTCCCAGCCTTTTCCTTGAGGAACACCACCAGATTCTCACAAGGAAGATACCAGAAAGCACACCACTTCTCAAGGCCGTACCCAGAAAACAAGACTGAGAACAACCAGAAGACTGAGGCCTAATTTAAAAATCAGAGAACCCCTTCTCCACCACAGCCTAGCACTACACTAACAGTAATAATCCATCAGAGTTTAGGGAGCTGCAAAATATCATAGCAGATCAAAGGAAGCTTCAGAACTGGGGCTTGATACACCAGCAGAGTTGACGTCTCCACTCTCTCTCCATAGCTGTTACACTCCGAAGCCAGCAAGAGCTCAGCTCCTGGCCAGAGCAATGTAAACCCTCATATAAATGCTTACTTACTCAAGTCCTTATTACTTGATAAAAAAAAATTTGCAAGTTATGCCAGAAAGCAAGCAAATACAGACATAAAGACCCAGCAGTCATCCAATGTAATACAGATGTTGGAGTTATCAGACAGCAAATTTAAAATAACTATAGTTGATATGTTAAACTCTCTCATGAAAATAAGTAGATAACATGCAGAAAGTAGTTCTAAAAAAAATCAAACAGAATTGCCAGAAGTCAAACCACAGTGACTTAAGTGAACACTGTCTTTGATGAGCTCATCAGTGCACTAGACACAACTGAGGAAAGAATTAGTGAGCCGGAAGATGTTTTGATAGACATTTCTCACACTGAAGTACAAAGAGGAAAAAAGGATGAAAAAAAGAAAGAAATCCAGAGCATCCAATAACTATGGGACAATCACAAAGGTGTAACATGGATGTGGCAGAAAACATATTTGAAATAATAATGTTTGAAAATTTTCTAAAATTAATGATAGACACCAAACCACAAATCCACAAATCTCAGAGAGCAACAAGTAGATTAAATACTAGAAAATATATAGCTAAGCATATCATAAACTGCAGAAACTCACATACAAAGTAAAAACCGAAAGAACCTGGGGGAAAGAAGGTGGAGTGGGGAACCCCTTACAAGCATTAGAATCACAAGTGATGTCTTCTCAGAAAATGTCTTACTTTGCAGGCAAGTGAAGAGTGGAGTGAAATCTTTAAAATGTTGCAAAACAAACAAAAAAACTATCAACCTATATATCAACTGGCTATAGAACTCTATAGCCAGTGAAATGTTTTTCAAAACTAAGGTAGAAAACAGGTGTAGTGCTAACCTGTAATCCCAGCATTAGAACCCTGAGACGGGAGAGTCATGAGTTTAAAGTCACCCTGGGCTATATAATGAGAATTTGTCTAAAAAAAAAGAAAACAGAGGAAAAAGCAGACAGAAACAAAGACTGTTAGACAAAATCTAAGAAAAGACATTCAAGTGTCGGGAACGAAGGAAGAGATTAGGAGTAGAAAAGTAGATTAAAAACTTAGATCTACATAAAGCAAGAAGGAATATCAGAAAAGGAAAAAACTGAAGGACTCTTTTCTTAATTTTAACTGATCTAAAAAATGTTCAGTAAAAAAATAGTAACCATGAGGTGGGTGCTTCTTCGCATGTGGATGTGCAAAATAAATGCCAGCAACATGCGGAGGAGCAGAGGAGAGAAAGTGGACATAACCTGCTATGAGAAGTCTGTCCTCCGATGCCTCACACGCTCCTGCTCATGGAAATAAGAATGTGCTCCCGGCCACAGGGCCCCTCTCTCCCTCTGCCTGCTGACTGACCAGGGTGCCTGCCAGGGTGGCCTCCAGGGGCAGGTACAGCCCCTCTTCTTAGGAACTGTGAATAATACGCTATTCTGTCAACAGCAGCCATCTCCTAAACATGTTGGCTTTATTGTGCCTACTCTTTTCCATTAATACACTGGTGGGGTTTTTGTGTGTGTGTGTGTGTGTGTTTTGTACCAGAAATCAAACTCAGGACGTGTGCTTGCCAGGCAGGCGCTTATGCCACTGAGCTATATCCCTGGCCCAATACACTGTTTTAAAAACATTCAGATACATAAAAAGTAAAAGGACGAAGAAAGATACACTCTGCTAAAGCTGATCAAAACATCTGGGTCACTATATTAATTTTAGGCAAATTAGAATTACTTTAAGGTAGAATGAAGTCTTATAAGCCATTGCAGAAGCGTTATGAGATGGCAAGACTTCTGCAATCATTTGCAGTTAAGAAGAGAATCCTTTGTAATTTCGTGTTCCCCACTCCCGGCCTCGGGGTTTCCCGGAAGGAGGGCTTCCGGCGCACAGGGAGCTGGGGGTGGGGAGTGCCAGCCTTCTGGCTGGCTAGCTTCCTGCCTGCTGGCTCCCGGAGGGTGGGCCATGCGGCGGCGAGC